TGACATTTGTTCTAGGTTCATTATATACTAGTAGTCAGAATAGGGGTTTACTAAAACTTTTTATAATCAGTTTACTGTGCGTTTAGGTGGCAATTAACTTAATCAATCTAGAATATTACATGTGGTATATATGCTTTCTCAAATTGGCACAATAATATGAATTTTATATTTATTTTATTGTTAGTTTTATAACAATAATATCCTGAAATTGCTCATTGCATGAAGCTGTTTTTCCTTTGCTAGTTATGAGACGGTAAGTTCATCGTTTTTTGTTTGTTTTTTGCAAACAACGTACAGATGATGATACTCACACGGATACAACGATTGTATTTATCATTTGGTCAAATTCGATACATACCAGAGCAAGTAAATCCATCTTCATTGAGAACGTAGCCATTCTCGCAAGAACAATCGAATGATCCAATTGTATTGTAACATATCTGTTCACATCCACCATTATCATCTTCAGAACATTCGTTGATATCTGTAAGCCAATATGAAAAAGACGCTCCTTGTAAATGTTGTATTCTGTCTATGTCGCTCCTGTACTTTACAAATAATGTTATGTCTGACTGAAAGCATCATTACAAGACGAAGCAAGATTTTTAGTATGTACATACATAACTGCAGACGTGGAGGTCGGACAACTTACCTATACACGTGTCTGTATCGAATCTTAAGATAAAACCAATTGGACAACCACAGATAAAAGATCCTTCTGTATTTTCACAGTGATGAGAACAACCTCCATTGTCATCTGAGCATTCGTCAATGTCTTGGGTAAGAACATATTCGGGAGTACACTTTAACCCAGTATAGTATAACAGGTTGCCATTCACGTAAATATAAACAGATTTCCTATGATTCACAACAATTCACAAACCTCACATATAATATAACTTTTCATATATACAGTTGATTTGGAAATCGATTCGCCATATATTTGTTTTCGTTACTGTTACGCGAGTTGGCATAGTTACGTACCGCCACATGTGCGTCCATCAGCATTTAAATTATAACCTTGGAAACACGAACATGCATATGAGCCGAACGTGTTATGACATACATGTTCACACTCGTCAGTTTCTAGCTGGCATTCGTCGATATCTGTAGTGTAACATACAATCATAATCATTCAGTGTACTTGCATATTATTTCAACAATGTGACTGATACATGGCAAGTTAACTGACTGTCACCAGTACCTCGACTGATATATATTTAAGCATGTCAGTGTGTAGGCACGTTTATTGTGAGATTGCAACCAATACCAAAAGGTCAACTTAATACATGTGATAGGTGGGATCAAAATAAATATTCAAGAAATATTCTATTCTGCTTTTCTTCGAAACAGCCATGAATTTGAATGTACTTAATAATAAATCACACGTACCAATACAATTTCTCATATTGTCACTGAGAGTAAAGCCTTCGTCGCAGGAACATTCATACGCCCCAACCAAGTTTTCACAATAGTGACTGCACCTTCCATTGTCCACAGCACACTCGTCAATATCTTGTATAGTAAACACATACGTCGAATTAGAATTGTTACAAATTATTATTAATATTAAAAGTGAACACATTTGCTGTTAATAATTATGTAAAGATGACCACAGATGAGTGTACTCACCGATGCAATTTCCAGTCTCAGGATCCATATAATATCCAGGAAAACAAGAACATACGACATAACCTTCTGAGTGCTCACATACCTGATCACAACCTCCGTTGTAGTGCTCACATGCATTATCCGCTGACATAACGCAATAAGTATATTTCGAGTGGTAAAGAGACTACTATATTAATGTGATAGTTGGTATACATAGGATGTAAATTTACTATATGCTTTTGTGTATATATCTTCTTTAACTCAATACGTATATGAAATGTCACAGTTAAAGTTCTACAGAGACCAGTCATTTGAGATTGCGATATAAATCGGTGATGATATAGCCAGTGTGTCTTTGGCATGTCACATCGGGGATATTGACATACAATAGCAATAAACCTGCATAATTTTGCTGTTATTCAACTCAGTTACTGAAATGTGCAAT